GGTGTTCTTCTTGTTGTATGATTTGTATATCTTTTTCAGTCATAATTCTCTTCGTCTGATCCTCCTATTATGTTATTATTTATATCCTTTTCATTTTCTGATAATTCATTTTCTGAAAATTCATTTATACTGTCTTCACTTCCTAATTCATAATCTATATATTCCATTTGTGTATATTTATCATTGTCTATTATTATTTCGAAAATTTGTTTCTTCTTTGGATTTTTTGGTAATTTGCTATCTTTAACTAAGTGTCCTAGTTTTCCACAATTGTAACAAGTGCATTCTGTTAGTTTTTTCTTTTTTCTATATAGTTTTTTATGTTTGTAATTTTTTACATAATATCTTCTTCTTGGTTTCTTATACTTATATTTGGATTTATATCTTCTTGTTTTCTTACCTTCCTTTTTGTAATATTTATCTGTGCATCCGAATTGGGGTGCTATTCTATTTTTGCAGCATGCCAAATTTTTTACTAATATTTTATCCATTTTGATATTTTCTTTATATTTTTCACATAATTCTATAAACCAGTTTTGTAAAAATTTTATTCGAGCTCCTAGGGTATCTGCTAATTCTGCTTCATTCCAATTTTTTATTATTTTTGAGCTGAAAGGTTCTGGTAATTTGGTAAAATATAATTTTCTTATTTCTTTACTTTCATCCGGACTATATGTTCCTCTATAATAATAGTCTCTAAATGCACAAGTATATTCGTCTATATAACACATATTACATATTGCTAATTTTGTCATTAAATTTCTATTTGTAGTTTTTTCTTTATTTTGTTCTTCTATTTCTGTTGTCATACTACTAAATTCATTTCTTATCGCTATTTCATATTTATACAATATTTCTGTAGCCGTTGTTGCAACTGTACCATCATGTTTCTTATTACTTCTCAATGTATCTAAGCTTTCATTTGTTAAATTTTGTAACCATAGTTTTACTGTTCCTATGAGTGTTCTTTCTATATAACCTGGTATTTCAGCTACTGCTATTTTATTATCTATTAATTGTTTTGAGATATATCCTATCCATAATTGGATTGTTTTATTTATATCTGCTACACAATCTAGATCTAAAAAATTACATTGTTCAGTTATCTGTCTTGGTGTCCATTTCCTATTTAGTCTCTTATCCCATAATGTTTTGTTCCTATCATGTGAATCATAACTTATTCTGTAATAGCTCGGGTTTAGATGTTTTGGATTTTTTATTCCTGATGTGCTTNTAAGTATTGTCATGGGCGGCTTTCCAGCCGTGCCCCATGACCCCTTGGGCGCGCCCCGTGGCGTCCTAGCAAGCCTTTCAATGCCTAGTGCCACGGACGACCCCGTGGTCTTGGCCGCGCCAAGTGACAAGCGCGCACGTGCCTCTGTCGCCCCACCGATATCCCTCGCCAGCACCCAACCGCAGGCAGATGCCAACATCGCCGCACGCGTAGACCCTGATGCCAAAGACTATGCTGCTGACAACGGACATGTTTCTGCCTTATAGCAAACTAAGTCTTTTTCATTGTAAATATAGAGTAGTTTTATTCCATGTACTTCCATTATGTTTCTCTAAAACCAACACCATGCCTGTACCGTATGCTGACATGTTACTGATGATGGGAGCAAACGGGACCAAGCCCCGCATTATCCCGTGCATACCCATGAAGATGGCCGTTGAAAACATCTCGGCCTTGCAGTTGAAGAAGGGGGTCAAAAGAAAGGAACCCACGTTCCTGGCAACCCTCTGCATCGAAGATGTAGAACGCTCCTCGGGTCCCATTCCTGAACCCGTAAAGGAGCTACTACTAGAGTTTGAAGATGTTATGCCACAAGACATGCCAGAGCGACTACCGCCTAGGTGTACTGTGGACCATGAAATTGAGCTAGTGCCGGGCGCGAAGCCACCCGCCTGGGCGCCTTACAGAATGTCACAATCCGAACTCATCGAGCTTCGGAGACAATTGACAGAAATGCTAGACACAGGGATTATCGTGCCCTCCAAATCCCCATACGAGTCCCCTGTGCTATTCCAAAAGAAACATGATGGTAGTCTACAACTCTGTGTGGACTATCGGGCTCTAAACAAAATTACTATGAAGAACAAGTACCCTATTCCGCTAATGGCATACTTGTTCGATAGACTGGGTGGTGCGACGGTGTTCACCAAAATAGACCTGAAGACAGGTTATTGGCAAGTTCGGATTGCAGAGGGTGATGAGCACAAGATGACCTGTGTGACAAGATATGGGTCGTACGATTTCCTGGTTATGCCATTCAGCTTGACTAACGCCCCAGCTATGTTTTGTACTTTGATGAACCAAGTCTTCCGAGAGTACATTGATGAATTCGTAGTGGTCTACTTGGATGACATTGTGGTATATAGCCCAACATTGGAGGAACACCTGATGCACTTGCAGAAGGTCCTAGCTCGATTGCGGGAGCATGAACTATATGCGAAGCTATCTAAGTGCTCCTTTGCTCAAAAGCAAATTAACTTTCTCATACATGTCATCGAGGAAGGGCGGATCAAGATGGACCAGCAGAAGATTCAGGCAATTACATATTAGCCGCCACCTAAGGATATCCACGCCTTGAGGGCGTTCCTTGGTCTATGCAATTTCTATCGGCGATTCGTGAAAAACTACTCCCTCATTGCAGTACCATTGACAGAACTCCTCAAGAAGATCACGCCTTGGGAATGGGGACCCAAGCGAGCGGAGGCCTTTAACGCATTGAAAGCGGCTATGTCTAGTAGCCCCGTCTTGGCCCTTCCTGATCTGGCCAAGCCATTCGAAGTACAAATAGATGCATCTGACTATACCCTCGGTGGAGTCCTGCTACAAGAAGGGCATCCTGTAGCGTACGAGAGTCGGAAGCTGAAAGATGCAGAACAGCGCTATGCCGCCCATGAGAAAGAATTATTGGCTGTCGTCCACTGCTTGCGCCTCTGGAGGCACTATCTGCTGGGGACCCCGTTCGTGGTCAATACAGACAACACAGCTGTTAGCCATTTCATGACCCAGCCGAAGTTGAATGGTCGACAGACCAGGTGGCAGGAACTCCTAGCTGAATTCCACTTCAACCTGGAGTACCGAAGTGGGAAGACCAATCATGTTGCTGATGCGCTCAGTCGGAGAGCTGATCTAGCATCGGTGTGCCTACTCGCCACCCTAAGGGGGAGCGAAGTAGCCACCTCCATCAAGGACCAGATACAGAATTTACTCATCAAAGACCCTGCTGCACAGTATTTGGTTGATTTGGTAGGACAGGGCAAAACTCGCCAGTTCTACATGGAAGATGGTTTTCTGAAAGTGAAAGGGAACTGACTTTATATTCCTAAAGGAGGAGATCTACGAAGGACTCTTCTGGCGGAATGTCATGATATTCTGTGGGCCGGCCATCCCGGTGAAGAATGCACCATGGCGTTACTTCGCCGTGCATATTATTGGCCTCAAATGGCCGATGACGTTGCTCAGTATGTGAAGATTTGTCTAGTATGCCAGAAGGACAAGTCAAACCGCTTAACACAAGCAGGACTCTTGGAACCACTAGCTGTTCCAAAGAGACCTTGGGAAAGTGTTTCCCTGGATTTCATCACCGGA